AAGGTGACTGAAGTTTAAACAAGTAAGAATACATAGACAATTTTTTATAAATAAATTCTGTTTTTTATGGGTCTCTTCTAGTGTGAACTAAGCAGATGTGTGGATGATTATCAAATAAAGCAAAATATAATGAAAAGAATGTTACTTATAACATGAAAAAAACCCTAAGGTTAATATTTTATGGGAAATTTAATTTAATTTTAAATTTAATTTAAATTTAATTTAAAAATAAAAAGGGTTATAGGCAAACTAACATGATTTAGGCTATAATTTCTAGAAAGATTGCAATGAAATAGATTTCTGTTAAACACTGTATCATTAAATAATAATTTCAAGTTAAACTGATTTATAATCTATGAGTATTTGAGATAATTGTTGTATTTTGTTCTTTAGTGATATTAATTAGTGATTGGTAAGTTATGGCTAATTGATATTAGTATCAGTTTTCTTCATGGTAGAAATAACATATAAATATGAGACGTAGTGATGGTTACCATGGATTAATTTATCTTCAGGAAAACTTGTAATATTTTTATTTTTTGCCCTCATTTGTTTGACACAGTAAGCTTTAAGAAAGGATGCAATCTAAACACCATCTTCAAAGTAGTTGATTACTAAATTAGCTGTTTGAAATGAGTCTTAGAATTTAATTGATTACTAATTAATTCTATGTTTTTAGGAAAAATTACAAATAAAATTAAGCTTAAAATTTTCACACATGAGTTTCAACACAATATGGTAGCCTGACCATTTTAAGTAAAGAGTTTAAATGGTCTATAAACCAGCAACAAACCTAAACTAAAATAAAAGGCCATTTTAGCATGCACTCTGATAATTAAAATATTCTAAATTTAAATAGACCTAAAAGGAGGTGTAGTTTATTTTTGAAAATCATTATCTTACTTGAATGAGGCACTAATCTGTTTTTTAATATCTAAAGTCTACTGATTTCTTACTCCATATTATAATTCTTGTGTTGATGCAATACAAGTTTATTGTTACCAGGCAATAGAGTTTATTTCCTTTCAGAAGCTCAATGAAATGTTTGCGTTTAGCTTACTGTATGTCAGATATCTTTTACAGTTATAGCCACTTCCTTGGAATTTAATTCTTTGTTTGCAAACTTTAAAAAATTAAAATCAGAAATATTTGCTAACTAAAATGAAATTTCCCATTTGTACAATATATTTTTGCTCCACACAATTAAAAATTTAATCAATTTTTAAGTAAAAATTAAGTGGCATAATATATACTTAAACATCAAATTCCATATTAAAACAGTGGGTGTCACCGTCAATATTTTACAATAAAACATATTCCAGGAAATAATTTTCCTAATTTTTCATCCCACTCACCCATTTGTTTAGAGGTATAGGATAGGCATTGAGCGATAATTCATTTCTTTCTTTTTAAAAAGAAACTGTCGTCACGGAAAGCAAAGAATTTATTGGCTTTTCATTCATATTTCCAGACCCCAAAAATCACTTTTTAGAATTAAGATTTTGTGGAATGAACAATTTCTAGATAGGCAATTAAATATTCACTAGATGCAGGTAATAAATACAGCTAGATCAGAAACTATTTAAAGGTCAGTCTGCCTCTACTTAGGTTATCGTAACAAAATGTTATTTCTTTATTAACTACTTTCCAAAATTATTTTAAAGATTAAAAGCAAGTACCTAAGTTCCTTATCCAGCTCCTGAGACGCAGCGTTTGTAACAATTTCGAAAGGAGATAGTTTGTCCTACTGGGGCATCAGTAAGAAAAGCCGGTCTCTCTTCCTTGGGATTGGCTGTTGCCTTAGTTACACTTTGTTTGGAGCTCAGAGCACTGTCTTCCGCTGTAGCCGAGGGATTAAGCAGCTGGTGGGTGAGCCGGGTCCCCTCAAGACCCAAATTCTCGGTCGGGGAGGAGAGGACACACGGGGGAGGGGCGGGGTGCGCAAACGGAGTCAGGTCCTTCTCCACCGAGACCAAGCTGTAGAGCAGAGGGAGGGAAGAGGGGCTGCGGGCTGAAGGGCTAGCTGGGAAACTCCAGGCTCCTTTCAATTTTGGAGATTTTGGTAGCTCGCTCAACACCTGAAGATCCAATCTGAACGACGGTCCCCTAGTGACGGTTCCTGTTCTTCTTCACTCTCTGCTTCCCTATTCTTTCCCTCCCTCCATCCCTCCCTTCCTTTTTCCCCGTATATAATTTTGGTTACTTTTAAAAGTAGATTTTACTCTCCTTTTCTTGTGGTGGAAGGGCGAAGTCACTTAAGATTTCCCACTTTTAGCAGCTTTCGCCAATTCTAAATGATTTATTGTCAACTTGAAATGTTTACTGTAGCCCATTTACCTTGGAATCAATCTAGGGCTGTTTTGACCTATCCGGTAACCACTAGCTAAAGGAAAATATTGAGGGCTGGAGATGCAGCCAGTCTGAATAGAAACGTGCTCTAGGTGTAAAATATACATCAGATTTTGAATAATTAGTGTGCAAAAAGGATGTAAACTTTTTACATTGATCTTAGTAATAATTTTTTATTATGTGTTGAAATATTTTGGATAAAAGAAGTTAAATAAAATATTTTATTAAAATTAATTTCACCTGTTTCTCCTTACTTTTTAAAAAGTTGTTACTAGAAAACTTAATTTTACATATGTGCTCGCATGTATAACTGGACAGGGCTGGTCTAAAGAGCCAGTAGATGAGCAGAGAGGAACATATAATGGAAATGACTCTTAATTTTTACTCTAGTCTCTTGTCTTCCTTTCTACATAAAGTTTTGTGTACCTATATATTCTGCTTTATAGCCACTTAAACAAACAAACAAACAAACAAATTTCTTCTAATCTTTGAATTGCACTTTAAATTAGTTTGACTTCAGGATCACCATTTTGCACTGGTATGTTGTTTTGTTTTGTTTTTCCTTAGGTGAGAGAAGTTGTGGATAAAATTAACTATTTTTAACTAGTTTTTAAAATTATGAAAATAGGACATACTTATTGTTAAAATATCACTCAACATAATGGTGTGAAATAAAACTTAAAAGCTTCTCAATGTCTTCTAGAAAGTTTGTCTTAAAAAAAAAAGGTGTGTGTGTTTACATAAAAGTCATGTTACTCTGCATATCTTTCTGCCATTTGCCTTTTTTCAACTATTCCTTCTTGGTTACATTTCACAAGGAGTACAATAAGTGTACTTATTTTTTAATAACTTGTATATTATTTTATTTTATGGATCCATTATAATTTATTTAACTTTTCTTACTGAGTACTTAGGATATCTTTAGTTAACATTTATTGGGGGTAACTGTAGATTCACAAGCAGTTTTAAAAAATAATACAGAAATATCTCTCTACCATCTCCCAATACTAAAATTTTATAAACTCAAGTATGATATCATGACCAGTATCATGATATTGCTACAATCTGCTTATCTTATTTAGATTTCCTCAGTTTTACTTGTGCTTATTTGTGTGTGCATGTACTATACAATTTTTTATTATTTGAATAATTTATACTCACTTATCTGCTCCAACAATCAAGACGGTGAATAGTTTCAGCGCTGTAAGGATCTCTCATGTTGCCCATTTATCACCATTACCACCTTTCTCCAACCCAATGATTTAAGCTGTTCCATTACCTTTGAAAATTATCCATCATACAGTTGTCTTCTAGTGCCTCCCTTGTCATAGTTACTCAATACACGAAAGCTAATGATGGTGGTGATGAGGAGGACCCAAAGATAAGAGGCCTGTCCAGAAAGTACCCAGCCATGTACTATGAAAACTAGAGACATTTATTGAAGAAGACACAAGATACAAGAAACATTGTGCATAGGACAATGATGCCTCAGTCTCAAAGTAGGCACCTTGGGACCTCACACAGTTCTCTGATCTTTGTTGATTGCAGCCTGTACATGTTCAGAATTCTTCGGTGTTCTGCTTGTTGCAGGCCTTCCAGAATGTGGATCACTTTCAACAGATTCTGGACCATATCTGAAGCATTTGTGCCAAACTTTGAATTGTGCTGCTCTCATTACATAGAATCCAAAAGCCTTCTGAATCATCCAAATAGTTTTTGCAGAGGAATGTTCAAGCTTAACACAAAATTTGACGCAGATACGTTGCTCTACTTTTTCAGTCATTTTGAATGCGATGCCACACAGTACACATGCTCACTCAATGGCATCTACCACCCCCACTGACTAGTATAGTGAAGTTGTCATTGTTCACGCACGCACATTCCAGTCCACTCTTGTTAGTTGATAGGTTATGTTGATGTCACACAAATTGTTCTTGTTGTATTAACAATGGTTGGACTTTTTATGGACAGACCTCATATAATGTAATATACTAATTAACCTGTATCCATAAAAACATTAAAGACTTAAGTGACATAAAATCAATGTGACATACTGATTTTGTATGCCATATATTATTCATTATTAAATGTTATTTAATAATTTGATTAAATGTTAAATTAATATTTAATAATTAGTATAATATAATACTAATTAATAATCAGATAGCTGGACAATTTGGCTATCTCTGGTAAAGATAATAACTCTGTTAATGAGTAGAAACTAGACATATGTTTCCCAATTTATAGACAGGTGGTTCTCTTCTGAGTATTTTAATCTCTGAATATTCACACTGTTCATAAGTATTTTTCCATTAGTCATTTCCATGAGGACACATTTTACTGTGAAGTATCTTGAGTCAGGAAGATGAGCTAGCTTATTCCATGTAACTTTTCCCTTAGATAATTAAAAGTCTATTATTAGAATGGACCACTTTGTAATCAAACACTAAAGAAATAATGATTGGAGAAAGTAATTTTCTTCAATATATGGTACAACCAGAATAAGGTGTGATAAATGATTGTTAAACTAAAACATGTTTCTATAGAATAATGTTATATTATTATGACACATGAAAGAACTCACAGTATTTATTGACATACTAGCCTCTTTAATTTTCTTTAAATGATTCTGTGTTTTATTATAAAGGGTAATGGAAGACGATGATGATGATGCAAAGCTCAAAGAAGAAATAGAAGCTGAATTAGATAAAATCAGTATTTCTTCTTTGGAAAAAGATGATGTTGATAGTGATTCAAAATCAGAAACCCAGAGTGATGATAGTGATACAGTAAGTGTTAAGTGTTGGACTTTGGAGCCTTTTAACTGGAGTAATCTCTTCAGGAGATATATGACTTTCTCATGTGTTTTATGTACTTATCTCATGTTTAACCTTGGGATTACCTTTAAACCAGCAGTCCCATGCCTTTTGGCACCAGGGACCGGTTTCGTGGAAGACAATTTTTCCATAGACAGGGGTAGGAAGGGTTTCAGGATGAGTCAAGCACATTGCTTTCAAGCTCACCTCCTGCTGTGCAGCCGGGTTCCTGACAGGCCTGGATGGATACTGGTCCATGGCCCAGAGATTAGGGACCCCTGCTTTAAGCAATGTATATTGATAGATATTTATAACAAAAAGTATGTTGAAGATAGAGATCACCTATAATTAATTCCACATGTCTGTATGTTTTTTTTAACTTGGAATTATACCATATTATGTATATATATATTTGTACCCTGCTTTTTTCACTTAATTGTGAGCATTCTCATGTGATTATATATGAATGAAAGCAAACTTTATGTGAAAACTTTAGATCTATATAAGTAGTTACTTTTTTAAATCAAACATGTCATTTTTTTCCTCTTGTGTATGTCCCTCAATGTTTATATGCTTAGAAAACCTGTTTCTGATTCATTCTTTTACATCAAAATTTTTAATCCAAAGGGAATTCATGTTATGAAATGAAGATCTAATTTCAAATTTTCTTCAACATATTTAGCTAATGTTCCCAATATCACTTGTTGAATAATCCAACTGTTTTCCATTGATTTATCATATTTTTGTATACATTTAATCATGTATGTGATCTATCCAAGGCTATTATTTTTATTACTCTGTTAATTTTTTCCCTATTGTAGTTTTATATTTTTAAATTTCAAATGAGTCCAATTTTTTTTAGTTGTTTTACTGTCTCAAAAATCTTCTCAACTAAATTTTTCCAAAATTAGTAGATTTTTTCCAAAACAACCTCATTTGTCAAGTTTCAAAAATAATTATACTCTAAGTTTTAATGAAGATTTCAATAACCTGTATTTCACTTTTGGAAACAATTGATATTTTTACATTACTATGTCTTTTTATCCACAGCTAATTTAAGTGAAACAAAAAATCCTGAGATTCTTCATTTGATTATGACATTCAACAGAATCATAGATATAATTCCTAACAGCCAAAAATGAAAAGCACATTTTTACCAAATATATGTGTTTGAACTATGCTTTTAATAGCCCTTTAATCTCATTTACACATTTTTCTCAAATTTCTGGTGTGGAATGAAATAGGGGATATCTAATACATAGTTTTGATAAAAAATTTTATACTTTCATTATTGAAATTTTTAGGACTTAGATGAATTACCTGAGTCAGTTCTTTACTGTATTAACATCATAAAGAATAAGAGTAAAACTGCTGAAGAGCTCATTCTTCAGGACTTAGAAGACACTGATGTTTTAAGTAAGTACAATTTTTATCTGCTTTGCAGGTAAGTTTTTTTTGTTAAGTATAATTAATTTATAATTTAGAAAATTAAACTGTTTGAAATGCTTATCATTTATGCATCTGTTTTATCTCTAATATCTATTGTTTATTGGACTGTTCAATTTAGTCCATTCATTTTTCTTACTACATTCATTTTACTTACTAACCTTCCTTATGTCTCCAATAAATACTAACCACCAACATTTGTTTAACCATTCCTCATTAAAGCAGACATTCTATTACTTTACATAAAAGAAAAGAATGCTAATCATGGGACTATTTTAAATCTATCAGTTTATGTATCTTTTTGGGGAAAAATATAATTTACATAAAAAAGCCTAAGTATCTTTTCCTTCAACTGAGCAAATTTATTTCTTGAAATTCTTCTAAGAATAATAGAATGCTCAAAGATTTAACTAGACTTAATCATGACTATACTGAAAAATTACAACCATCTAACAGTCCAATAGGACCTTGGTGTGTTCAACAATATAACCATTAAAAAAGGTGATTTAGACAAATACTTAATGATATAAATATTCATGATATGTTATTAAAATTGTTATAAATATTAATGTATTTATGCAATATTACCGCAAATCATAATGTAGATATTCATAGATATTAGTTTAACAAACTTTACTGTGTAGAAGTATCTGTTATAGCCACTGAGAATACAGCAGGGAGCAAAACAGGCTGTATTATTCTAATGTTCCAGTGTGGAGAGACAGACAATAAACATAAATATATCATGTTTTAATAGACATAACTACCATGAAGGAAAAAAAATCAAAATAAGGTCAAGATGGTGGTGTAGGCAGGCAAGGCTTGCCTCTTCACACAACCATGTCAAAATTACAAATATAATATAGAACAACCATCACTCAGAAACCTCAGAAATCGAGTTGAATGGAGTGACAATGATGGAATTAAAGCAACCACATCCATCCAGATTGATGGGGGAGATGCAGACACAGAATGGGCTGGTCCCACACCCACCTGTGGTGGATAAAAATTCTGGAGGGATCTCTCAGGGAGTGAGGAGTTCCAGCCTAACACCAGGCCCCCAGCCCAGGGTTCCAGTGCCAGGAAGATAAGTCCCCACAATTTCTGGCTGCAAAAACCAGCAAGGATTGAGTTGGTGGCAAAAACTGCTAGAGCCCCAAGCACTTCATTTTACAGAACCCACACATGGACTCACTTACTCAGGCTCACTCCCTCTGAGCTCCAGTACCAGGGTAGCAGCTTAAAAGGCACCAGTGGCATGCAGGGAGAAATTGAGGTGTCTGCCATCAAGCGGAGCAGAGGCCATGGTCCCTTTTCTAACCCCTCCCCTCACAAAGCCACAGAGCCGGCAAGCTGGTGCCATATCTGAGACTCCATCGACCTGACTCACAGTGTTTGACCTGCCTTGGAGATCCCTAGAGACTCTGCCCCACCAATTTATGGGCCCACCAAAGCTGCTTTTTGATATGAATGGCTTGTCTTACCTCATGCTGCCCAACTTCTTAAATCCCCCCCGGTCAAGCAACAGCTGACCTTAGTGAGTTCCAGGCCTGGCACAAGCAGCAGCCGGCCTAGATTCAGAGCTTGGCTTTGCCTGGGAATCTCTAAGCCCAGCACAAGTAGCAGTCATCTCAGGTTGCTTTATAACTCAGACAGACTGGCCCCAGGCAAAACAGTTAAGGGCTGACCTTGGCCCATGTCACCCAGGAAACCTCAAGGCCAGCACACCCAGTGGACAGCTACAGGCCACGTCATAGCCCTACAACCCTCTGCACAGCTGATCCACCAAGGAGGGCGGAGGTTGGTGGTAAGTGGTCACAGCCAATCTTTGCAGCTGACTGGCCTGGGTAAATCCTTCCCATTGAGCTGCCAACAGCAATCAAGTTTCAATTACAAGAGGAGGGTGTACTCAGCCCACATGAAGGGTGTACCTTGAGTAACCAGCTTGGGTGATAGGGGAAGCTGTGCTACTGGACCCTACTAAATTAGCCCACTTACCAAGATGTGGAGTCAAAGCTGCTCTCCCTAATACTTTAAAATAAACACAGGGAGGCTGCCAAAAGGAGGACACAAAGATGGCCCAAATGAAAGAACAGAACAAAACTCCAGAAAAAGCTAAACGAAATGGAGTTAAGCAATCTAGCAGATGCAGAGTTCAAAGCATTCTTCATAAGGATGCTCAAGGAACTTAGTGAGGACCTCAGCAGCATAAAGAAGATCCAGTCAGAAATGAAGGATACTCTAATTGAAATAACGAACGATTTACAGGGAAGCAACAGTATAGTGGATGAAGTCGAGAATCAAATCAATGATTTGGAACATAAGGAAGCAAAAAACAACCAATGAGAACAAGAAGAAAAAAGAACCCCCTCCTCACAAAATGAGAACAGTAGACTGTAGACTGAATATCCAATGTGTACAAAATGTACACACACATACATTGTAGAACCTGTCTACCAGTAGAGCTGCTGTCTGATATAATACAGAAATACAGAGAATTTATCCTCTACTAAACACTCCCATCTCCAAACCAAAGCTCCCTCTATCTATCATGGCCTGGTCCCCCCCAAAAAATTAAAATTAAAATATAGCTCCCTGTCTCTTTTCACACATAATATTTTTATAAAAATAAAGACTTACACAAATATATCAATTGGTAGAACCTACATCACCCTTAGAAACCTAGCCTCAAAGAAATCTGGAGAATATTTTTTATTTTTTATTTAAAAATTTTTTTTTGCTTTATAGTCTCTCACACAGAAAGCATGCCAGAAAGATTGTGAATAGCTGTCGATGTCAAAAATTTGTATCTGAAAATATAGCTGTAAGTGGCCAGTTAACCAGCAGAATGGTCCTCTTTAAAAATAGTTTACTGTAAGGAACCATCCCAGTGATATAACACTTTAAATGAATAAGGAAAAGAAATATAACTACATCTGCACAGATAATAAAATTCTTCATAAAATTCAACAAAAACTCATAAAACAAAGTTCACTTCATTCACATTAGTAATTATAATCTTTTAAACTGATACTTTTATTAGAGTGTTTTCCATATCTTGTGTAAGTTTATATTGCAAGTTTGTAGCAGGTAGAATTGAACCTTTGTTGGTTTCTAATAAAGATGTCATGTCAAACAAAACATTATTCTGTATATGTGGAAAATAAGCTTTAGTCTAGATACAAAAGTTGATAAGGAATTAGTGATATAAAAATTTGTTATTTTTTAAAAAAATATAGTTCCCTCTGTTCTTTATTCTCCATTGTTTTTCTGTTATTTTGCGTTACTGGTCAAGAATATGCTATGATAGAATTTGAAAATAAAGTATGATGAAGGGGTTTGGAATTTTAGTATGTTGTTCCCTACTCTAATATTTAAAGTTATAATTTTTTTCTTTCTCCAGGCTGTACTTATGGAGCAGTTTCTAATAATCATATGCATTTAAGGATAGAATTATCAACTGAATATAAAGAAAAATCAGATCAATTAATGAAGGTATATGTTCAGCATTTGACTAAAAGTACTCAGTGTAGTTAGCAATTTACTTTTCCCTCCGATATTGCATGATAGATCATTGATTTAAAGTTCACTGATTTAAAAATTAAGAACTTAATTATTTTTAAGGAAATCATTTTTTATTTTATACCTCCATTGTCATAAAAAACACTAAAAAATCTATCTTTAAAAATATTGGAAATAGTGATTTGAAGCATCAATACTTAGGAATTTAATGTGCATGTAGATAAAACAGTAGAAATATTTTGCATGATTTTTGCCCTAAAACTCTTACAAAAAAAATTGAATATACTCTAATGTTTATTACCTTGCTTAGGAATGTAATATGTTCCAGCAGAGACTTTAAATATACTATAGAAATTTTAAACTCAGAACATCTGTTAGTTTTTATTTAAAGATAAAATTAAATATCTATAAAAAATAAAAAGTAAAGGGGATTTAGCATTTTTGGTTAAAGCTCCCACAAATCTCATACAGTTCAACATCTTAGATTGACTCTCATTTTACATAACTCTATTGCTGCTCTCCAAGATATCTAAAATAATATGAAATAATATGTGTCTCTTGCTGTTTTGGTAACACTAAAACTTAAAATATTAATTTTGAATTATATCATGTTGCTATTTCATTAAATAGATAACCCATTTCTTTCCATCTAGAGTCTAGTGGAAATCTAATTATGGAAAAGTATTCATCAAAATTATGTCTTAATATATAACTCAGGTTAAAGTAGATAACAGTCTTTTTTTATTTTATTTTATTTTTTAATTTATTTTTTAAAGATTTTATTTATCAACTTTTAGGGGGAAAGTTGATTTTATTTATTGACTTTTAGAAAGGGGGAACGTAGGGGGTGAGAAAGAGAGGGAGGGAAACATCAGTGTGTGAGAGATACATCAACTGGTTGCCTCTTGCACACCCCGAGTAGGGGACCTGGCGGGCAACCCCAGCATGTTCCCTGACTGGGAATCAAACCAGCGACCTTTTGGTTCATAGGCTGGTTGGTGCTCAATCTACTGAGCCACAACAGCCAGGGAAGTTCTGTTTTTAAAACATTGAATATATTAGCAGTGTTTATATGTGAGCAATCACTACAGATAAGAAAGATAGAACTATATTAAGAGGAAAGCAAATATTAGTAGCAATATTTTAAATAATTATTAAGCACTTTAATTGATTATTGTGGATAATATTATAGTAGCTAGAGTTCTAAAAAATATAAGGTTAAAATAAAGTCATCTTACATGGGAAAAATATTATTATTCAACATAAAGACAAAATCATTAATGTGCTATAAAATTGTATTTGAAAGGGGTTTGAAGTGTAAATAAAGTTGTAGATATGTGTATATAAATATTCTCTACATTATTAAAGTGATAGCTTTATACTCTGTTTTGGTTTTCATTAATCATTGGTACACTTTTAACCTCTTAGATATTATCTGAAATAGAAAAAGAAGAATTTCTGAGAAGTAAAACTCACTGTGGCAGTCCTGATTCTGTTCCAGAGCCTGGACCTCATGCACATGTGGATGAATATGTTTTGCCAGGTGGACTAAACTGCTCAATGATAATTTTGATAATTTTTACCTGACCATAGTTACCTGAGAAAATTTAGAGTTTTTTTCCTTTGACAATTAAAAAAAATACAGTCAACATTTAAAATTATGCTTTCATTATACTTATTCAATTATATACTCATAGTTTTCTTTATAGCTTCTAAATGAACTTGATTTAAATATATTTATAATTTTTCTACATATATACAGCAGTAGACATACCCAGCCTTGAATTCATTAAGTACCCCTTATAACACATTATATTTTTAGATTAAGTTTTGTGGAGTAATTTAAAGCAAGTGTTCTGTTTTCTTCATTGACTACCGTAAAATATTCATGCATATTTAAGAATATTTTTTTGTATTTTATCATCTTTGGTAATATGTTGAAATTATTTATTCCTTTCAAAATTACTTTTATACTTTATATTGAATCACTTTTGGCAGGTTTGATCTCAAATATATTATTTCTCCTTATGAATGCAGATGATGGTGAAATAAAATTTGGATACTGTGAAGTGGAAGAAAGATGTAGGCAATCTTTTGAGGCTTGGCAAGATAAACAGAAAGAACTAGAAGACCAAGAGAAAGAAACTCTCAAAGCTCAGAGGGATAGAGAAGAAAAGGAGTTTCAAGAAGAAGAAGAAAAGAGACATTCCTGGATGGAACAATTTGAAGTTGAAAAGAAGAAACTAGAGAATATTCAAAAGGTTTTTTGTTTTTGTTTTTCATACATTTTTTCTGAATCAGTAGCTACTTATGAAGAGTATTTATATTTTGTATTACAGTGTGGGTTACACTCTGTTGTATGACATTTAATTACTCCTGATAATAGAAGCAATTGACTGCAGATTAACAATATTTAATAAAATTTCCTTGATTCATTTTTATTGAAATTTATTGGAATTTCAGATACTGCTTTGGATCATTGGAGTCCCTAGGATCTTTGAAGTTTCAAAGATAGTTGTAAAAAGACTGATATTTACAGCATAAACTATTGCTTTTTTATATGCTTCTAATCATAGGAAAAGACAGCAATTTCCTTGATCGTGCCCTTGCAATGTACTCTGACATGTAACAATTAAGTAAAACATATTTGGTTGAAGAGGTTCAACCAAGTAGATGACGGTTTGTCATTCATCTCCATAATTGAGCTGATTCAGTGGACTAGAAATTTTTTTTATGGAAGACTTTTGTATCAATATGTTTGTATTTCAGTTTTTCTTCCAACCCCACCTCATCTCAGGAGGTCTACACCCTCAGGTCATGGTAGTGGCATGTTGAAAAATAAGTGGATATTTAGGACCCTACTTGTGGGATGTCATGATCATTAGAATGTTTAGATGAAAGGCTGGACTGACTTCTCAGTCTTACATCACTTGCTAGATTTGAATGTTTTCATATAGAGAAATTAGCATGTGGTCATCTAGGCAGTTCAGGATATTCTAGCCCTACATGTTGGGTACATTGCATTTTCTGATTATATAGAAAGTAAATTAAAAATAATTATAATATTGAAAAACCAGTTTGGTCACAGTTTTTTCCTAACAAACTCTAGATCTTTAGCTTTCCTTTAGTTATAGTTATATTTCCTTTTCACAAATAAGATTAATATGATTATTTCCATCATACAATTATGATTTAAAAACGACATTAATAGGTTCAGTGAATTCCTAAATATGTGCTTTGTTATTCTTTGGGGCTTAAAACTTTCCAATGGGGCCATTACATAATTTCATAATGTTGGCTTCTAAATTAGTGATTTACTCTCTTTTAGTAGTTCTTTTCTGTGCCCCTTGTTAGTGTCCTCTTCTGTTTCTCAAAACTGCTATTATAAATCTTTTCTCATGAGTTCTACTCAACTGTTCTCACTATTAGCGCATGGTGACATATAGGTTTTCTTTGCATCAATTACGAGCTTTCTTTTCTTTCTAATCCCATATCCAGTTAGCATCAATCTCTATACTCACCTTTTTTTTTTTTTTTTTTGCCTTTGCTTCTATCTCAGTATCTCAGTAAGAAAGATTTCTTCCTTATACCAAGGTTAGCTTTTCCTCGTCTCTTCTATCATTTTCCAGTTTGCCCCTGCTTTTTCTTACATGCAACATACCCCTATCAACTCCCTCCTTTCTTATTGTTTATAAGCATGTTCAATTTTCTACCATCCTAGAAACAAAGGAAAAACCATGACATCACCTTTGTTCATTTGTCTCACTTTATCAAGCTCTTTGGCTCTACTTATCATAGACGTCTTAAAAGAGTGTTATTTTTACTACATCTATTTCTTTGTCCCTCATTCAAGGTACCCTGCTAGGTGTTTACCGCCACCCCACTGAGTGAAACTACCGCCTCACTGAGTGAAACTGCCCTTGATGAAAGTGACCAATGACTTCTGAGTTATCATACTCACAGGCTCTTCAGTTCTTATTTTGGCCTCTATTGCATTTTATGCCAGTAAAAGTTTGATTGTTGACCAGTTCGCTTTCCCATGACTTGTGTGAGACCACAATGCCTCTATTCTCTTTCATACATATTTGGAAGTTCCTCCTTGATATCCATTTTAAGCTTCTTGTTTTTTTCTCCTTGAATATGATACTATCAAGGCTTTCATCCTTTGCCCTTTCTTTTCTTATTCCATATAGTTTTTCTCTCAGTAATCTCATTTATAGCCTTGACTGTTCAGAGCCAAATCTATATTTATAATGAAAAAAGTGAACTACATAACTTTCCTGTGTTACTTCACAATCAGAAGAAATATATCTAATGTATCTAAAACAGAGTGCGTTGTCTTTCCTTCTGGATCATGCTCCTTCTCTGGTATTCTGTATTTTGATGAGCCATACTGCCATCAGAATCCAAGCTAGAAAGATGAGGACCATTTTCTACTCTTCCCTCTCTTTTATTATTCTCTTCTTTTAAAAAAATAATTGTATTGCTCGTCTTTTCATCCATATATTTACTGCTACTTCATAAGTTCAAGGTGTGCTAATGGCTAGCTTTGAATATTTATTATGTTCTCTAATCGATCTTCCTACTTTTTTATCTTTTACAGACTTCATCCACTATAATGCTGTCAGAAGGATATTTATTTTTTTAAAATTACTTACCTTAAATCCCTTCAAAAGTACCCATAGTGCATAAAGATAATATCCAAAGAAATTTGTCTATTACCTTTATACCCATTCAATCGGCAATTTGTGGCAACTTCATGTTTTCATTGTCTTTGTAACTGTTCTTGCTCCTGTTACACTCTACATAGAGGCCCTTATCAATTCTCACATGGACTTCACTAATATTTACCTTCCTGTTCTTCTTGGTGTCTCCTTGGCTTTGTGTCTCTAACTCTATCCAATGTAACATTATGATTTTCCTAAAAACAGAGCTGTAATCATTTTTCTAGTTCAAAAACATTTAATGAATGCCTAAAATGTCTGTTTAACCTATTGAAAACCTAGTCATTTCAAATATGATCTTCTGCATGGTACCATTCACGATTCCCCAGTTATAATGCCTATTGCTGCTGTGATCCTTTATTGTCTTCTCTTGCTATAAACTTATTCTGTTAAATTTGGAGTAATGTGTGAATTTTGAGAATGTTCTTATATTAAAGGTAAAGGTTTAGAGTAAAAGGATTGTGTTTTACTGTTTTTTTTATTTTTCAGATCCTTAACAAAATATGTGCTAATTAAATATTATTAAAAGAAAACCATTATCCACTGAACCAATTTATTATGTGAATTAAATGGGATGGCATGGAGAAAAAAATATTGTAATGCAAAGCCCATCTTACAAACATTATTATTTGTAATTTTTGCATTGCCCAATACTATTTCTAGCTGATGGTCTTTATTATGTGAATAAACATGTTCAAATAAGTAAAACAACTTTCACAGGTTACAAACATCTTTATCTATTCAAAATGGAAACCCTAGGGGTTATTCATATGACCCTTTAGGTTGATAGTAAAGTTATCATCTCGGTAGTAATAACTAAGCATCTTTGGGTGAGTTGGTTTCACCATTATTTAAAAATAAATGTTGTGAAAATCATGTACAATGCACATATTTTTCACATTTGCTTATAATATTTTATTATTACTATGTGTTCAGCAAGAGCTGGCCAGGATGAATGATGAACTCCATAAAGAAGAGAAAATGTGGAAAGAGAAATTTAAACAACATGAGGTATCTATTTGCTTTTTTCCTCAGTGCAATAATCATTCTTCATTTGAAATAAATTACTATACCTAAAATGGAAATTTTAGAATAATATTATCTAGATGGTGTAGGATTTAATTTACTAAAGTTTTAAATATTCATGAATCATTAGAAACTTTTCTTGAAATAGAATGTCATGATAATGAAAATTAACTGCTGAGTATGTTTATATAAAATTATAATTTTAAAATTTCTTTTAAAACTTTAGGAAACATACTATTGTGAGCATTTCATTGTGATTGAAAATTGTTATGAAAAGTTACTGCATTTCTTTTTCATAATTTTTAAATATTTTATTGATTCATTTTTGGAGAGAGGGGAAGGAAAAAAGAGAAACATCTATCAGTTGCCCCACAGCCCAAGTCTGTGTCCTGACCAGGAATTGAACATGAGACATTTTGGTTCACAGGCTGGTGCTCAATCCACTGAGCCACATCAGCCAGGGAGAAAACTTGCTGCATTTCTTGAACACAATTAATGGAATGTACTAAATAACCCCTTGAATTTAAAATTATTCTCTTGACATAGTTATTAAATTTTAGCTTTTATTTATCTCATAGTTTTAATATAAAGTTATTTCAAGTAATTATATGTATAACATAGATAAAAGCTTCCATAGTCTTGCTGTTCAGCTTAAACATGTTACCTTTCTTTGTATTTCTTTCAAGTATTTTCATTATTTATATGAACACCCAGGAAAGGTAGGTTTTTACTGGCCACATATATATTTTTTTGATTGAAATATATTTGACATGTAACAATGTATAAAGTTTAAGGTTAAAACATGTTGATTGATATAGTTATATATTGTAATATAATTGTCTCTACTGTTCACCTTTAAATGAAAAATCTTTGGTTAGACCTGTGAGGAGACAGATTCATATAAATGACAAGAAAAAGGCCATAGTATCTTACCTGCAGGTAACTCAAATGTCAGAATAAGGAGAGACATTAACGTTACTAAAACTAGCATGCAATAACTAAATAGTTACATGGGTGACATGAAGAGAGAATTAGACTATATAAGGAAGTATCAACTGCACATTTTAGAGTTGAAAATTGAGTATATAAAGTTAAATTTCAGGGGATATTTCACAGTAGATTTGTCACAATGAGAGAGAATTAGTGAAATTGAAGTGAGATTAATACAAAATATCCAAATTAAAGCACAAAGAGGACAAAAATTGGAAAGGTAGAAAAGAGCACAAGAAATATATGATATATAGTGTGGAGATAAATAATGTATATAATTGTAACCTTGGACGCAAAAGAGAGGAGCAGAAGCAATGGGTCTGAAGAGATAATAGTTGAAATGGTTTTAAATTATTTTTAAAAAATCAATCTGAACATTCAAAGATGATTAATGATTCCTGAGTAGAACCAATATGAAGAAAATCACAGTTGGAAACTATTGAAATTAAAGATAAGGGGGGGAAATAGTCTTAAAAGCAGCCAGAGATAAAAAGGCATATTACATAAAAAAAGCAAGAGTAAACTAACAGCTGACTTCTTAAGTGAAATGATGGAAGAAAAAAAAGACAGTAGAATTAAAATAAATTCAGTGCTAAATGCTAATTAATGGTTTGTGATTATCAGTATTCTTTGAGTCTTCCCCTACTCTCTGGGTCAGTTTTAATTTCCTATAGTATATATCAAAACACTTGTCAATTATATTTTTAGATGGCAAGTTTTCTCAATCTTTCCACCTTTGAAAATGTTTTTATTTTGCCTTTAAAACTGGATGATTTGTTTTTTTGAGTTTACAATCCATATTTATTACTATTTAGTTTTAACAATTTAAAGATACAATTCTCTTGCACATTTTAATTTTGCCTATTATGATTTTTCTTACATTTTACTTTCATTCACATTTATTTACTGGTTTTCTGTTGTCTTCAAGGTAGTTCTCCAAGTGCTCAAGGTAGAGCAATATATCAAACAGAAAATAACCCCTGCCTCCAAGGACCTTACATTTCCTAGGGTTCTGACCTTTTATTATCATTTATACGAATGTAGTGTGTGTGTGTGTGTGTGTGTGTGTGTGTGTGTGTGTGTGTGTGTGTGTGAGTGTTATGAGTGTTAGTTACCTCGGCTCTTCATGTTATGCACTTTTCTTGGTTTAAAAAGCATTTTTCTCTTCCTTCAATTTTCTAGTTCTTTATTCTGTAACTTCTATTAGTCATGTCAGTTTCTGTGTTGATCTTTTGTGTTTCTAAACACCTCTATCATATATTTCGTGTTCTTATTTTGTATGTTGTTTTGGGAAAATACCTATAGACAGTTTTCTTTAGGCAATCAGTTGTTAAGCCATTCTATTTTGATTTTTGTTTGATGCATTTTTTAATTTGAGCACTTACATTATATTTTTAGTGAACTTATTTCTGTTTAAACATTTTTTTCTAATTTTTTATTTATTTACATTTTTTATTTTAATTAGTCTCTGTTCTCAGAAACTGATTCTTCTGCTTATTAAAGTATTTTCACTATCTCACATCATTTCTGTTTGTTTTCCTCAAATTTTGCTGAATTTTTTGATCTGTTTACTTTTGCTTTAGGATTCTAGTGACAATGGCATTTTCTCACCTGACTCCAGATTGTCTCATTTAATACAATATATGCATATCAATTTTCTTAAAAGCTATGAAAGAATAAGATGGTTAAGTAGGCTAATTCTTTGTATTGCTTAGATGATGATTTACATCACCTTCTGGTATCATAAGTCTCACAAAATAATTCTCTGTTCGTACAGTCCCTGTGCTAGCTCTGGGAGTCTACTTTATCTATCAGAACTTCCGTCTCAGAGAGTTGAAGCCCTTTTCTCCTACACAAATTTTGGCTTGCAGTTTTTCTTGCTTTTCTCTCTATGTCATTTTGGTTTAATAAGTTTTCTGTCCTCAAGGAATTCCTCAATTTAATCTGGGTGGCTTAGTATAGCAATATTAGAGTATTAACTTACTAATACTCTTAACTTGATAGGAGCTCCTAAATATTTAAAAAAATTAATACCCTTTATAATAAATGACGTTAGTTTTCCTAAGAGAATTTTATAGTAACTTTATTATTATTTCAGGCTTAGTACTTGCTTTCAATCTCTATTTTAGGTTATATTTTGATAACATTGCATGTTTATGCTTACTACTATTTATCTGTATTTTAGGAGTTTATTAGAAATCTGAATTTACAAATGGAAGAAGAAAGAACAAGATTTAAAGACCTACAGGAAAAAGAAAAAATGCGTTTATTAAAAATGCAGCATAATGCAGCTGTAAAAATTCAAACTAGATATAGAGCATTTGTGGCCTACCGAAAATATGGTCCAATTATAAAAGAACAAATAGAAAATAAGAAAAAAAAAGCACTAGAGTGGAAAGAAAAGGAAGCAAAAATACGACAAATTGAAGAAGAAAAACAAAAAAGATTAGAGGAGGAGAAGAAGATAGAAGAAGAGATACAAAGACAGAAGGAAGAAGAAAGAAAAAGGAGAGAAAAAGAATATGAGGAAAAAAAGAACATCCTAAGACAAGAAAAAGAGCAACTACTAAACAAAGAAAAATTAAGATTAAAAGAAGTTGCAAGAAAACACCTAATAAGAAATAGAGCATTAAAAAACGGAGAACATAATGCCACACATTTAACTGTTGACGCTATATCAAAGAATAAATATGGAATAGTCAAAATGCTAGCAGATGGAAAATCAAACAAGTGGGAAGATGTTCCGCTCTGGCTAGTTAAAGGATTGAATGAAAGAGAAAATAGAGATAAACAGCTTGTACTAAAAGAATCAATACAAGTACAATTAAAAGAATCTTTATCAAACCAAACAATTTTGGCAGAATTTAAAATGGGAGAAAGAAGTGAAAACCTAGCAAAACAACACTGTTCAGAAAAAGTGGTCAAGCAAGGAAGAAAATATGAAAATACAGACATAAAAAATGAATTGGAAAACCCAGATCTAAAAGAACATATGAAAGAACAGTTTCAGCTGCAAGAATTAATCTGTCCAGTAGTACAAAAGGAAAAAATGAAGGCTGCTGTAAATGAGAATGTAATACAAGAAACCCATACAATAACATTAGGGCATAATCAAGATATTAATGAAGTAAAAAACAGTAAAGTACAGAAAATAATCAAAGATAGTCAACAGAGTAAGATACAAAAAGTAGAAAAAGAAGAGATACCAGAACAGAATGGAACATTATATGAAGAGGGTAACATTTCAGTGATTTCAATAAAACAAAAACTACCAGCACTAAAATTAGAAAATTCTGAATATATAAGGGAAAATGTAATATTGCAAGGAAAAGAAATTGATTTAAAATCTAAAGAAACCGAGGAGAACCCAAAGGGCAATGCTCTGAATAGTGAGGGAATTACTACTGCCAGTGATGCCATGATAAATGTAGAAGGCAAAATAAACAAGCAAAATGATGACTTAGATAGATACACTCCCTGTGACGACTTAGGTGGCTATAATACCAAAAACTCCTTGGTTTTTAAACAAGCAAACTCTCTAAATACTCATATTAAAGAAATTCCAGAAGTATGTCATGAAAACAGAACTGAATGTGAGAATGTTGTGACCTGCTCTGTCCCAGAGCCAACACTTCTATGCTCTATTGAAGAAAAAAGGCTAGCTTGGATAAGATCATTTAAACCCTGGTGGGAAATTTTTGAGCAAAACCAACAAAAGAAGATTGTTAAGAGAAAGAGGCTTGTGAAATGTCCAGCCAACATGATGCCCCCTTTGAATACACTAGATATTCTTCAGTATGGCTCTTGGAATACTTTACAACAGGTATTTGTAATTTTATAATACCTTGTCTTTTTAAGTTACAATTGGTTCTCTAAATGTAACTTTTAAAATCTTGGTAGAAAGCATATTTTATATTCACAAATTCTGTATCCTTAATCAGTGACGTTGCTAATGAAATATTGCCTTTACTTGAAAGGGGATGTGTTTAAAAGATCTCAGTTTAAAATTATTATGGAAATCTCCCTCAGTGAATCACCATTAAAAGCTTTGATTTACATCTTTTTTTTACATTTACATTTATACTTTTATGTTTTCATTTTTAATTATATTTTATCAATTATTCTATTACAGTTGTCCCAATTTGTCCCCATTTACCCCCCTCCAGCTAGCATCCCCCACTTCCTCAGGCGATCCTCACACCATTGTTCATGTCTGTCGGTTGCGCATAGGTTCTTTGAATACTCTTATTCCTAGACTGTATTTTACACACCCATAGCTATTCTGTAACTATCTATTTGTACTTCTTAATCCCTTCACCTCTGCACCCATTCCTGCATACACTCCTCCCATCTGGTAACCATCAAAACGCTCTTTGTATCCTTAATTCTGTCTCTGTTACTTTTGTTTGCTTAGTTTGTTTTTTAGATTCAGTTGTTGATAGATGAATATTTATTGCCATTTTTTTAAAGATTTTATTTATTTATTTTTAGAGAGGGGAAGGAAGAGAGGGAAACATCAACGTGTGGTAGCCTCTTGAGCGCCCCCTACTGGTGACCTGGCCCGCAACCCAGGCATGTGCCCTGTCTGGGGATCAAACTAGTGACCCTTTGGTTTGCAGTCCGGCACTCCATCCACTGAGCCACACCAGCCAGGTGTTCGTAGACTTGATCATATTTTTCTTAAAGAAGACCCTTTAACATTTCATATAATAATGGTTTGGTGATGATGCACTCCTTTAGTTTTTTCTTGTCTAGGAAGCTCTTTATCTGCCCTTCGATTCTAAGTGATATCTTTGCTGGATAGAGCATTCTTGGCTTTAGGTCGCTGCTTTTCATAACTTCGATTTCTTGCCAATCCCATCTAGCCTGCAAAGTTTCTTTTGAGAAATCAGCTGACAGTCTTATGGGAATTCCCCTGTAGGTAACTAACTTCTCTTGCTGCTTTTAAGATTCTCTCTTTATCTGTAACCTTTGGCATTTTAATTAAGATGTGTCTTGGAGTGGGCCTCTTTGTATCTCTCTTGTTTGGGACTCTGTGCTTCCTGGATTTGCATGTCTGTTTCCTTCACCAGATTAGGGAGACATTCTTTCATGATTTTTCAAATACATTTCCAATTTCTTGCTCTTTCTCTTCTCCTTCTGGCACCCCTATGATGTGAATGTTGGATCACTTAAAGTTGTCCCAGAAGCTGCTTACACTATCCTTATTTTTTTTTTTTTTTTTACAGGTTTTTGTATGGACACAATTTTGTTTTTTTTTTTAATTTTTATTTTTTGTTCAAATACATTCGTCTCCACCTTCCCGCCACCGCTTTCCCCTGCCTCCCACTTCCGCTTCCTTCCCTCAATCCTTCCCCACTTTGGCTTTGTCTGTGGGTCCTTTATAGAGGAACATATATCCTTATTTTTCTTTTATTCTTTTTTCTTCTTGTTCTGATTGGTGGCTTTTCACTTCCTTATGTTACAAATCATTGATTCGATTCTTAACTTCATCCACTATACTGTTGACTTCATCCACTATACTGTTACTTCCCTGTAAATTGTTCCTTATTTCAATTAGTGTATCCTTCGTTTCTGGCTGAATCTTTTTTATGCTGTTGAGGTTCTCATTAAATTCCTTGAGCATCCTTATAAAGAGTGTTTTGAAGTCTGCATCTGATAGATTGCTTATTTCCATTCCGTTTAGTCCTTTTCTGGAGTTTGATCTGTTCTTTCATTTGAGCCATGTTTCTTTGTCTCCTCATTTTGGCAGCCTCGCTCTGTTTGTTTCTGTGTATTAGGCAGAGCTTCTTAAGACTCCCTATCTTGGTAGTATGGGCTAATGAAGTAGGTGTCCTGTTGGGTCTTATGGCCCAGCCTTCCCTATCACCCAAGCTGAGTACTTGAGGTGAGCCCTTCATATGGGCTGAGTACACTCTCCTCTTGTAGTTGAGACTTGATTGCTATTGTCAAGTCAATGGGAGGGATTTACTCAGGCCAGTCAACTGCAAGGACTGGCTTTGACTCTGACCATCAACATCTATCCTCCATGGAAGATCAGCTGTGTTGGGGCAGGGAGGTGGTGCTCTGACAGGGTCTGTAGCTGTCCCCTGGGTGTGTAGGTTCTTTGGTTTCCTGTGGGGTGCTGGCCAAGGTTAACTCCTACCTGTTTTGCATGGGGCCACCCTGTCTGAGTTATAAAGCAATCTGAGATGGTTTCTACTTGTGCTGGGCTTGGAGATTCCCAGGTGAAGTCAAGCTATGAACCTAGGCTGGCTGCTGCTTCTGCTGGGCCTGGGGCCCCTTAGCAAGACCTAATCAGGCTGGGGGCTCACTGAGGCTGGCTTTTGTTTGTTTGAGAGGGTTTAAGAAGTTGTGAATCGTGAGCCAAGACCAGAAATTTATATGGAAAAGCAGCTTGGGTGAGCATGTAAGTTGGGTAGTACGAGGTCTCTGGGAATGTCCAGGGAGGAGCAAACAGTATTAGCCTGGTTGATGGAATCTCAGATATTACACCAGCCTGCTGGCTCTGTGGCTCTGTGGCTCTGTGGCTCTGTTGGGGGAGGGTTCAGAAAAGGTAAACTGGCCTCTGCCCACCTCTCTGTCTGAAAGAAAGCTGTTCCCGGTTTCCACCTTGGTGCCAGATACTTCAGTTTCTCCCTGTATACCACTGGTGCTTTTCAAGTAGCTACCCTATTGCTGGAGCTCAGAGGGAGTGAGTCTGATTAAGTCCGTGTGTGGGCTTTTAAAGAGGAACTGCTTGGAACTCCAGAAGTTTCTTCCACCAAATCAATCCCCACAGGTTTTTGCAGCCAGAAGTTATGAAGGGTTTATCTTCCTGGTACTGAAACCCTGGGGTGTGGGGCCCGGTGTGGGGCTGGGACTCCTCGTTCCTTAGATATCCTTCCCAAATTTTTATCCACCACATGTGTATGTGGTACCAGTCTGTTTTGTGTCTCCACCTCTCCACCAGGCTGGATGGATGTGGTTTCTTTAATTCCATAGTTGTCACCTTCCATTTAACTTGATTTCTGAAGGTTCTGAGTGATAGTTGTCCTATATTTTAATTCTAATTTTGATGTGGTTGTGTGAGGAGGCAAGCTGTGTTTACCTGTGCCATCATCTTGACCGGGAGTTGATTTACATTTAAAGCTTGTGTTTAAGAGCCCTATAGTCATTATTATGCTTCTAAGAATGGAGGCGTCTGGGAATATAGGGTTGAATTAGAATAGGAAATTCCTAACTGATATTAAGTGAGGAGTTTGCTTTAATCTTTTTTTATTATTGTTATTCTATTACAGTTGTCCCAAATTTTCCTGCTTTGCCCTCCTAGGCGGAACCCACCCTTACTTCCACAGCCAATCCCACACTGTTGTCCATGTCCACCGGTCATTCATACATGTTCTTTGACTAGTCCTTTCCCTTGTTTTCACCATTATCCTCTTCCCCCCTCCCCTTTGGCCACTGTCAGTCTGTTCCATGTTTCTGTTCCCTTGGTTTTATTTTGCTTATTAGTTTATTTTGTTCATTAGATTTCTCTTATAAGTAATATCATATGGTATTTGTCTTTCACCAACTGGCTTATTTCACTTAGCATACTACTCCCCAATTCCATCCATGCTGTTGCAAAAGGGAGGAGTTTCTTTTTTTCTTTTTGCTGTGTAATATTCCATTGTGTAAATGTACCACATTTTTTTGTTCAGCTCATCTGCTAATGGGAACTTAGGCTGTTTCCAGCACTCGTCTATTGTATGTAGCGCTGCTATGAACATAGGGGTGCATAAGTTCTTTGAATTGATGTTTCAGGATTCTTAGAATATATTCCCAGCAGTGGAATCAGTGGGTCAATGACAGTTCCATTTTTAATTTTTTGAGGAAATTCCATACTATATTCCACAGCGGCTACACCAGTCTGCATTCCCACCAACAGTGCACTAGGGTTCCCTTTTCTCCACATCCTCTCCAGCACTTGTTTGTTGACTTATTAATGATAGCCATTCTGAGAGGTGTAAAGTGATATCTCATTGTGGTTTTAATTTGCATTTCTCTGATGACTAGTGATGTTGAACATCTTTTCATATGTCTATGTGCCCTCCGTATGTTCTCCATGGAGAAGTGTCTATTCAGGTCCTTTGCCCATTTTTTTATTTGGATTGTGTTCCTTGTGTTGAGTCATATGAGTTCTTTATATATTTTGGAGATTAAATCCTTGTCTGAGGTATCTTTGGCAAATATGTTCCCCCATACAGTTGGTTCCCTTTTCATTTTGATTACCATTTCTTTAGGCATGCAGAAGCTTTTTAATTTGATATAGCCCCATTTTTAAAATTGTTTTCCTTTATTTTCCTTGCCCTACAAGATATATTGGAAAAGTATTGCTATGTGGGATATCTGAAATTTTACTGCCTGTTTTCTGCTAGGACTTCTATGATATCAAGATTTATATTTAAGTCTTTGATCTATTTTAAGTTTATTCTGGTGTATGGTGTAACTTGGTGGTCTAATTTCTTTTCTTTTTCTTTTTCTTTTCTTTCTTTCTTTCTTTCTTTTTTTTTTTTTTTTTTTTGCATGTAGCAGTCCAGTTCTCTCAGCAGCATTTATTGAAGAGACTATTTTACTCCATTGTATGCTCATGCCCTCTTTGTCAATATTTATTGACCATAGAGACATGGGATTATTTCTGGGATCTCTCTTCTGTTCTGTTGATCTATGTGTCTGTTCTTACCCCAGTACCAGACAGTTTTGATTACAGTGGCCTTGTGTATCACTTTGATATCAGGTATCATGATCCCTCTAACTTTACTCTTCTTTCTCAAGATTGCTGAGGCTATTTGGAGTCTTTTT